AAATAATAAGCATGATTTTAGTATCCATTTTGAGCTCATTATGTTTACATTTTTTCCTATTTTTACCTGTGTTCTGCAGCTCTGTGTGCACATACAGATGGTTACATTCTCATACTGGGCACCCAGAGAAGGTCACATGCTTTGCATCAATGGCAATTAGTTCCCTTTTTAAAATGGAAAATGTCATTAAGTTCTTGAATAATTCAAGAGTAGAGGTCACAATACAGTGTCCCTTTTGGGGGTCTTTATGGTGCAAATGGCAAAACAAGGCGATCCTATCAGTAAGAGTAGATCTAAGGTTTACAATGTAGCTCTATTTAGTGTGACAGGAAAATTAAATTACACGAGGCACTCATTCATTGTCACCCGTTAACAGGCTTGGGAAAATTGTGGATCCCGGGGGGCAAATCACTGACAACATGCGAGGAGAATAAAAATATTTCATTTTAATTGGCTGCTGTTTCGTTTGCTTGATTCTGAAAATAACAAACATGCACACGTTCCGCACAACTCTCCTTGGAAATAGGGTCCTGAATTTCCCAACATAACCACAACTTACAGTATCTGCCTAAGAGGTGAGCAGAATAACAGCTCTGGGGAGTACAGGGTATGTTTTCTCAGCCACAATTGAGCTGGATTGCATCCAGGGGGTCCTGAAAAGGAAATATAGGAAATTTGAAATAAAAATTGGCTGCCACTACTTCCCACCCCGCCCCCATCGGGATTGGCTGGACTGGAGTTGTGTTTCTTCCAGAAGAAGCAAGATAAAGAACAGAATGACAAAGAAGACACCAATCGTCTCCCCTTCCCAGAGGAGAAAATGTCAGACCGCCCTCCGCTAGCTCTGGTCCAAGACCAGGCGACTTGGGCTGGGGTAGAGTGAACGAGTGTTAGAATCTGCGGAAATGAAGCCCGAGGGTGCGAAATGAAAATCCTCAGAGGTCACCAAATGAGATAAAAGTTTCTTCAGTGGCACTCCAACACAGCTTACCCACTGCTGAGGTCCCTAGAGTCCCCTACAGTCCCAGTTAGTGTTGGTGGGCGTGGCTGTATTGGCCTAGCTCCCACCAAGCTGGGTCGCGCTCCCAACCTTGAGACAAAAGTTCTCCCCTTACCCTCCCGTTCGCCGCTCAGTGCCCTGGCTCTCTCCGAAACTGGCCGATGTTGGCACCTGAAGGAGAAGCCCAGGTTGTTGATTTTTCCGGAGGCAGAAACGAAATGGGGAGGGGCAGGAGAAAAATTAAGTCGGCATCACCCACTACCACCGCGACGGGATAGGTCCAGTCCAGTGCGGCTGGCTACCTCAGGTCGGTTCCCTGCGCTCTAGAACTTGAGAAATGGCAAGAGTGACCGTCGTGTTTTAAGATCTAAAATATATATATATATTTTTTTCCTCTAAATAATATTTTCAACTAAATGTCAACTCATTTTCCCTTTTTGATCTCCTCTACCAAGGCCCCGAAAAACTCTGTGTCAGACAAGTGTCCATTGAGAGCAGCGAGGGTTCCGTGACGAGTGCGTAAAGGCAGCCTGTTCTCGCAGAAGTCAAAACAGCCCGAACTATGCGCCAAGAGGCTCCGAGGGTCCGCTAGAGGCTTTGCAAAACCCGCGGCCCAGCCGGCCCGCAGGTGTGCCCCAATTGTGCTGGATGCACCACCTCGAGGGGTTGGACACCAGCAGGTTGCAGGGAGTCCGAGCCCCCACACCCCTCACCCCCCACCCCCCGCTCAAGTACTCCCAGAGCCCGAGTGGAGGCTAGGGCGGTTCTCCCTGAGAGCTCCTCTTTGGTGACTGCCACCCGCTGCTCCAAAGGTTCCCCTGGCCACTCGCGAGTAGCTAAAGCAAGGCCGTCAGCCAACAGCTTAGGGGCTCACTTCCGAATAAGAAAAGTGGGTGCCGCTCCGTTTCTGAAGCAGGCCTGACTTTAAAACTTAGGTAAAGGGAAGCATTTATTTTTTTTTCAGAAAAAACAAACAAACAAAAAAACTATATTCCAGTGCTATTTGTGGAAACGGCGGCGAGTGATTTATTCCTAAACATAGACACATTTCCTAGACAGAACTAAAGAACAATGTCATGGGGGGGGGGGTGTCAGAGACCGGGGAGGGGGGTAATTTAGATGCTTTTCATTTTATAATGCTTCAATTTAAGCAAACACTTGGGGGCTCCAGGCCGCTGTAATTCCAAAGACAATTTTCTCCGGTTTTAATTTGATTTGCATTTTTCAACTTTGATAATATTCAATTTCATGGCTGAATACACATGTAAACACCGTTAGGTCGTGGTTTTCGCCCCTTGAACCAAACAGAATGTCTCTTGTTTCTGAGTGTCATGGGAGGTTAGACCCGATTCCTAAAAATATCTGCAAGTTTCTCTTAAATTGTGTTTCAAAACTTAACGTGGTTTTGTCTGGGAAAACTATTAAAAATATATATACACTATATATATATATATATATATATATATATAACATTTAACTAGTCAATGTGTGTGTGATACCAGCCCAAATATTGTGTATTGTACAAATGAAGGCATGAAAGAAAATAAATTCCTATTCGGCATAGAAGCAATTGTATTTTTTTTTTGCTCAGAAATATTTTCTAAACTGTATTAATAATAATTTTAAACAAACCAAAAATTATAAATAAATTCTCTCCCCCCTCACCAAAATGTTTTGAATGTAGATTTCACGGATAGAAGGACAAACATTGAGAAATACAAAGAAATATTTGCAAGGAAAGGTTTATTTAGCACCATTGAGCTATTTGATCAAACATGAAATTTATAGGCAAATATTAATTGAAATTTGGTAATTATTTTTAGTCATATCAAAATTGAGGTTCAACAAAATAGCACTGCCAATAACAATGATGTTGTGACCTGCTGCATAAGCACCCTAAAAACTAATGCAAGTGTATGCCAATCCTTGATGGTTTCAATTCCTCAGGACATGCCATCAACTAGACATCATGCAAAGAAATAGTTGATATTCACAAAATGTGGAGAAAAATTGGCACTTAGTGAATATACCGAAATTTCACATGCATTTCATAACCCACTTATAAAATCATACTAGAAAAAGAAAGGAGAGAAGAAATGACACACTTTTGGAGTTTGCCCATGGGTAGTTTACAAAAAGTAGCAATCAAATTTCCAGAGCTGCCCTTCATTTAAAAAATAAATGTATTTACCTGTTCACTATTCACTACTATGGAACACTCAATACTGTGGAAATTATTTCTACCTTAAATCCTAAGAATTTACAAATTAAAAATTTAATTTTTAGGTTTTTAAAAATTATCTTGGGCAAGATTAGGGATTTTTCAAAAATAAAAATTACTACAATTTGTCATCTTGGGAAATTAGTTGTGTGAGTCCTCAAAGAAAAGGTTTTGCTTGAGACCAGCTGGTAATGGAGAACTGTATTTTAAGTTGAGGTGATCTCATTTGAAAAATATCTTTTATCATGTGAAAGGAGTGTAGACAAACAAGAAAAGAATTCCATTTGAAATAGTACCAACTTTGAAAGAGAAAGCTAATTTTTAAAAAACACATTCGTCCCAGGGTGACTTCTAATACCTTTTGGAAAACTGCTTTTTAACACTTGATTTTTTAAAAATAATTGTTTGATTTTTAAATTGTCATCGTTTAGGATTTGTATTAAACTTTTATATTGTTTTGGATGCCTGGTAATTTTTGTCCATTTTATACAAATAGGTGACAGAGTGGGTGCGAACTTACTCCTACAGATAGAGCTAAATGAAGGGGGTTTAATTATATAACTAATGGTCTATTCAGAGAAATGCAAATTGTGGACAGTAGTGAACATCTTTTCTTTTTTTTCTGTTAGTAACTGAGGAGTAAATGCGATCTCCTTAAGGATCTTAAGTTTGATGATCAGAGAGTGAGTTTGCCATTTTAATTCACTCCCTGGAGTACCATGGTTGCTTTATCCAGAAACTGCCTCCAACTCTGTAGACAGTTAATGTGCCCCCACCCCCAACTTTGTTTCTCTGAGTCTGAGCTGCAACAGGCTTATCAAAGACCAACTGAGAACTCTAGAGGACTTCGTGTGGGGGAAGGGAGGTGAGAGAGAGGAGTGGCCCTAGGAAGTCCCTGGTAAGTATTTTAGGCAGGTGTGGACTTTCAGAGGTTGCAGAGTAGGGGATCCAAAGAGGCACCGTTTTCTCAGGTCCCTACAGTCTTAGGGATTTGGGAGGGTGTGTCCTTCTGGGGATCTGTGAATCTTCAGAGGAAGGCATAGCATCCCCCAGAAGACCCAGCTGCTGGGGGGTGGGGGGATTAGCTAAGGATATTATAAAGGCATTGTGATCTGACTGTTCCTTCATGATTAATAGGAGCTGTGTGTGTGTGTGTGTGTGTGTGTGTGTGTAAGAGAGAGAGAGAGAGAGAGAGAGAGAGAGAGAGAGAGAGAGAGAGTGTGTTCGATGAATGCAAGGCAGAAATCGCGCAGTTACTTTTAGTTGTTTACTGAGCAGGGGCAAAATCTAAACAGCGCTTTCCACAATCAATGAAGGGATCGCCTCAGGGTCCAGAGTTGAGCTCCCTAAATGAGTCTGGCATTCTGATAACTGCAGGTGAGCACCTGAGATCAACTTCTTCTCTCAGCTCGATGCTGTGAGGAGATAGGGACTCATCTTGTTCTGGAGCTCTGGGAAGGGAGAGGCTCGAGGGGGATTTAATTGTCTGCCTGGGTGAATCGAAATGTCCTTTTAAAGCAAAGAAATCAAGAGAGATTGGCCTTTAATAGGCAAACTCTGCTGGTGAGAGAGGGGTGGTAATTAAAATGGAGAAAGGACAAAATATAGATTGGATACCCTTCCCCCACTTGCCCACTCCCACAAACCACCCTCAAAATGGCATTCTCTGCTTTCCCGGTCTTTAGAAGGCTTACTGCCCTTACTAAAAGTGGGTAGCTTGTGTCATCTCATGTCCCCACCTTAGTCTAACATTTCAGTTATGCAATTTGGAGTGGGTAGTACAGTTTAATCTAGAACTCTGTTCTCTTCAAGAGTTGATCATTCCCATGCCCTGGACATCACTGTGCATGAGCTGATCTTAGAATTTGGTTGTATAAGTCTCCTCTGAAATGCCACAATGGAAGATACTAAGTCTGCAGGAAATTCCACACCACTAAATCTGGACAGACAAGGTAATTTAGCTCTCTGTAGGCTGAAAAGAAAAGGAGACCTCTGCACCAAGATTGAGTGCTATTTCCAGGAGGAGGAAGGCCACTGCTCAGTTCCACCTGGTGTCCCCAGGCTTTGGCAAGCAGGTGTTCAGCCATAATTGTCATGCATACCCATATGTAGTCCACTGGTGTGCACTCTGCTCTCCTCTCTCTGACAGCAGGCCTATTAGGTGCTGAGCCTCATTCTCCTCCAGGATGGATGCAGGCCAGCCCACCTTCCCCAACATTCTACTCAAGACAAACCTCTGAAGCAGATGTTTATCATGATCTGCATTTGTATATATGTTGGAGGAAGCATGCTGTGGAGGATGGGGGTCTTGCAGTTGTTGCAGCTTGGGCAAGGCCATTTGGAGACCAGCTGTGGGAGGTGCATACATTCCAGCTGTGTTGTCACCTGTGTTGTCATGCCTCCAGGTGCAGGTCAGGGGGAGGTTAGAGGCAAGAGTCTCTTGGATATTCCTGATCCCTACTCGTAGTAAAGATTTAAACTGATATGCTGAATCTCCAAAATAATTTGGCTGTGTGAATTGCCCATGGTCTTTGCCTTGACTCCCCGCCCCCCCCCGCCCGCCCCTTCTCTGGCATTTTCTCTTTCTAATCACAATGTAAGAACCATTTAGCTGCTGATTCTCGCCCTGTCTCCTCTTTTCCACAGCATTAGCCAGCTGGCCCTGGAGATTCCACAGGGAAGAAAGTGCAGCCCAGGTCTGAATGAACCTCTTGCTGGCTTTGAGGGACCATGATCACATGAGAATTCTGACTGTTACTACAAGAGAAAATAAGCATCAGACTGATCCCAGACATACCATTATAATCTTTACCAGGTCTAGGGTAGGTCTTTTTTAACCTCCAAAAGGGGTATCCAATTTTCACTCTTTTGAGATCTTCCTGTTCTTTTCAGCCTTCCCCTAACACACATCCTCTTCTACCAACACAGCTTACTTTGCAAATTCTGAAGTTCTGGTGAAGGCAGGCTTCCTACTGCTTTGGAATTGGAGTTGACTATGCTCAAAATCATATATGAAACAAGAGGAACTGAAAGAACATAGAACTGTAAAACTGGACTTCAGTACCGAGCTCTGAAATTGGAGCAAGTTCCCTAACTTCTCTCAGCCCCAGGCCCATCACACATAATTCTTCTACCACTGAGGTATGGGGAAGACTATAGAGATCATGTTCATGAGACATCTCCCATGGTGCCTGACACCTACAAGAACTCCACTTAAGGATAGTAGGATTGAATAGAGTTGTGTTAAAGAATGAGCTGAGGGAATATGTTGGGGTATGGGGGGCCAATAAGAAACACTAAAATGATAGAACAAAAGACAAATTTTCTGCCAAAAAAAAAAAAAAAATGGACTGGCTTTTCTGGGTAAAGTGTAGTTTTTCTCAGTCAGCAAGGCATATAGCTGCAGTAACAACTTCTTCCACTGTATGAACTACTCAGTTCAAAATGTAGCTTAGAATTGCAGTGCAAATGGAAAATATATAGTGAAATGGTTTTCTTTATTTTATACTAATAAAGGTTTTAGAAGGTATAGCCAGCAGAAAACACGAACACAATTGCATTTTTTTTGTTGTTGTTGTTGTTATCAGAGACAACCCATGATAATATCCTGATATTTTCCCCTCTACAGTGCTGAGAACCCAGGACATTGTGCATTCTAGACAAGTACTCTACCACTGAGCTATACCCCCAGCCCTGCCATCCTGATTTCTTTGCTTAAGTTTCCTCTGACCACTCTACAGAGTTCTCTATGACCCAGATCTTGCCCCCGGAAGACATTTCACTTCATTCCTTCATAGAATATGTCATATAATCATTTGTCCTCCTGCCCCATTCTACAGGCATCCACCTCATGCATTCATTCTTTCTGTCTTTCCCCCAAATACTTGTCAAGATTATGTTTTATATTTTTAAGTAATGTATTTCAACATGCATGATTTCAAATTAGGAATTATATGCTTTCCTTTAAGTAAGAATTTCTCAATAGAACTAATTATACAATTATGTCTGCTTTGTAAAAGAGAAATCATAAAGAAATGAGATCATATTTCTAGGGAAATAACAAGTCAAAATTCACATGCATGCAATTCTACTTTGATTTGCTTGGCGTATGACCAACTGTGGTTCAAAAACATTCTTGCTTATTCTTAAACCAGTGTTTTATTGTTTTCAAATAAATAAAACAAAGGGAAAGTTGATTTAACTATGGGGGAAATTATTTAAGCAAGTGGAAATGGAATGAGAAAAGCAAGTAGAACTAAAACACAGCAAATCTTATTTCAAAGTTCTGATGTGCACCAAACATCAATATTTTTCCATTGCACAAATATGTTTGTGATGCTGAAATTTCCTTCTTGGTTAATGATGTTTAAGTGAAACAAATAAAGTATTGCTGCCATCATCATCTGACATTGCTGAGAATATTGGTACTTCTAATTAACATGAGCAGGGACTTGCCCTAGAGGGACCATGAGAAATTTAGTTTTTCATGAATGAATATAACATAATTTATGTTGCTTCTTTCAGCATGCCCAGATATCAGTTGTGTTATCAAATAGTGAAACTCACAGACAGACAGAAACAGAGAGGAGAGAGTTAATGACATCTGACCAGTTTATGTGGTTATCTGAAGTAAGATCCAAGCTCTGAAGAAAAGTCATTTATGGGTGGCTGGGGAGAGGTATACAGTTGCGAAACTGTGCTTGAAAACATCCTGTCCTGTCTACCTGTCTGTGTGAGAGACTTTAGTACAAGGTTTTGGTATTGGGGGAGGGGTGAGGAGGCATCACCTCTAGTCTAGCAATAGGGACCACGACGGAATTACAGCTTGTAAAATAAGCCTCCATCAGTCTCCCAGGAGACAGCCGGCCTCAACTTGGGTGTTCCCCGCTTGTTAGCCTCAGTCATAATTGGTCTCTCCTCCCATCCCACGTTGTTGGTTTTCTGTGTGTGGCTTTTGGTGTGAGCGTGTTAGGTCATCAACAAATACAATGGGAGGAGGGAGCAAGGGGGGACACACATGATTGTTTTAAAGAAGAAAGGAAAAAAAGGGATAAGAGAGTGGGGCAGGAAGGCAGCTAACAGAATGGGGAAGATGCCCCAGGATTTAGGATTCTGAGGCAATCCCTGGAGTGACGAGGGTAGGGGCACTCCCTGGGAGTTTTGTTAAAGGGAGAAGAGACCCACCAGGAGCTGAAGCCCCTGCTGAGCTCCTTTGGGGACACATCTATTCCCTGCTATTTTTGTCTCTGGAGGTGCTTACTCATAAAAAAAAAATAATAATTAAAAAAAAAAAACATGGGGGTGACCTGCCCTAGAAAGGCAGTGTGTACGGAGTTGAAGACCTGAAGAGCACGCCAGGACCTATGGGGACAGGCAAGGAACACAGCCCCTCAGCCTTTCTCCATTTTTAAAAAGTTTTTCCCTTGATCCTCATTATCTTTTCCTCCTGTCTATTTCCTGTCTATTCTATTTTCCCCCTCTTTTCAGGGGAACACCTGTCCTAAGGATAAGAAGTTATAAGAAATTTATAATCTGAAGTCAGCTATAAATCTTAGAGGAAGGGATATATCTTTGCCGACAAGGAGGGTTGAAGATACAGTACATAGTTTGCAAACAGGTCCAGAGAACCTTCCATTTCTGTTTATGGTAAAATGAATATTTGAACCCAGGAAGGAAGCAGGAATAAGTATAATGAAATCGAGTTACAAACTTTGGGGGGGGGGTGTCTATTTTCCTTGTTTTTGAAAAGTTCTTTTTTTTTTTTTTTCCCACTCTCCAATCCTTGGCTGGCCTGGGTTGCTATGGAATTGCTGCCAGGGCTGGTGTCCATGCTGTCCTATTTCAGCAAAAATAATTCAGATCTGAAACCTTGTTCTTCTTTTGCCACATCAGGGACAGAAAAAAAAAAAAAAAAAAAAAAACGGGACTAGCAATACTAGGGTGTTTAGGGGGAGGGGTGTCTATTCTGTGAGGCAGGACTTATGCTCACAAGTTTGTGGCTCTTGGCCAGCACCAGCTGTTCGGTAGCTCCAAATTCACAGCGGCTGGGGCAGGGGTGGGGAGCCACAGGGGGAGGACAGGAATACCATCTTCTTTTTTGCTGTCTCTGGCTGGGTAAAGATTCAGTCAGAAAAGGCTCTGTTGAGTTTTGGGAATGCTCATGAATGAACACATTCCAGACCTGCTCTCAGCTACCCTTCTCCACCCGAAGCACTCCCTGACACCCGGATATTTAGAAGGATACACTGCTCCCAAGAAAACTCCTTGCCCCAGCTACCTCTAGGTACCTCATCTGGCAAACTCCTCCCCATTATGCCCTATTAAGCCTTATCTCCCACCACCCCGCCCGCCCCAACATTAAAAGGCCCCCAAAGCACTGAGAACCGGCTTCTCTTTATGAAACAGGGAGAAGGCGGGTGATAAAGATCAGGCGTTTAAATTGGTCATTTGGAAGATTACATCTCTTCAGCGAGGGTCTTTCTTTCAAAACCCCCGCACTGAATTAAGGGCCGCGGCTTCTCCGCACCCAGCTCTCAAAGGCCGGACACCTTTTAATTCCTCAGTGGAGTGGGCTGGGCTAGGTGACGGGGCGCCCATCAAAGGCCCGAGGGAAGGCCGTGGGGCGACACTCGTTTAATGACAAGTAATTGACGGATTCAAGGCCTTGCATTACCAGCGGAACGGGGAGGCATTAATTATTTAAAAACGATTAGCCTTGCCATGTGTCCTGCAGGCGTTCCATCTTGTTCAGGAAAGATAACCAGCCACGCGAATCAGAGCCCGGTCCGGTGGCCGGCAGGCGCTTCCCCAGCCGGCCTCTGGTACGGTGAACAAGGCGAGCAGCCCCTGGCGCCAGGAAAGGAGGGAAATGGAGGATCCAGAGTCCCTATACAATGGAGGTGCCCATATAACACTGATCCTGCGGATCAGTGAGACTGATTTCTGCCCACTTGGATTGGCAACTGGGGCTCAGACAGCAAAGCTTCCCAGTTGGGGGTGGCAGGCATTTTCCGTGGGCCGGTTACATAGCGCGTCTCACACTGTTTAGTGAAATACCTAGTAAAACCCAGCAGAGCACGGACATCTCAGGACGCCTGACACCCAGACGTTTAAAGGAAAGACCATAGGGAGAATGTAGATTGGAGAAAGAATGGTGGGAGGGGACAAACCTAAGGGGAAAGACATCTTTTCTGAATCCTGCCTTCGAAAGCCGAGCGTCCTGCCTTTTCAACAGCCTCTGAGCAACTACTGATTTCCCGAAGTCACCACCCGCTTGCAAGCGGCTGAAAGACCGGCTTGATTCTGCTCGGACGTTCTGCACCTGAGCGCGCACGTCCAGTAAGCTGGGGCACCCTCCAGACCGGCCAGAAGCGAACCCAGGCTCCATAAGAAAATAGGCAACTGAGTTGCAATAAGAATGGGGCGATGAATGACTCCGCAGCCGATTTCTGATTTTCAGTCCTGGGCGCAGTTTATAACCCTGAAGGTTACCTCAACCTGCCTACGGCCAAGCGCTCCAGTGCGCAAAGGCCATCATTGGCCACTTTCTACGGAGAAAGCTAACACTACTTGTTTTTTGAAAGGCTTTACCGCTCCTTCCCCTGCTCCAGCTTGGTGCCGACCCCCACTGTCATCTTGGCCTGACTGGATCCGGGAAAGGACTGAGACTGGACTCAAACTATTGTGGGCCTTGGGGGTGGGGGAGGCCACCATGCTCGGGCCTGTGTCTCTCAGGAATTGTCGCTGACACCACGCACATCGTTTCCTGTTGACCCCTACCCTAGACTCTGAACCCCTCCTCCCAGCCACTGTCCTTGGGAAAGGCAGCGCTCGGATCGAATCCCTAGCCCCGAGGGGCTACAGATGCTGTAGGGACTGGTCCTAGGTTATCATTGCCTTGGGGCCCCACCAAACTTAGCTGCTCAAAGCCTAGACTAAGTCTGAGTTTCTGACTCTAGGACCCCTCATCCTTTTATGCCTGACACTCTCGAAACGCCCAGTAAAAAAGGCCACCTCCCAACCTCCTGGGTCTTCATTGACTGAGATTCCCTGCTACAACTCTCAACCCGCGTCCAGGCATCCAGTTATCCAGAGCTCCAGGAAGGGAGAGGGAGTAGCTGAGGCAGGGGAGGAAAAGGGCGGTGTACGGACCTGAGTTGGGGGTAGACGCTGTTGCGGGGAGCCCGGGCGCGGTCCCCGAGTGGGTGCGCTCCCTACCTGCAGTGGCTGGAAGGCGGGCGGGTGGCAAAGCGTCCAATGCGCGGAGGGAGGCGTCCGACTGCGCCGAGCCCAGGCATCCCTGCATTTATTTGAGCTCAAACCGAGCGACTGTTGACTTTAGCACACAAAGCAAAGATTTCACTGCCCGCTAGTTTAAAAATGAATATTTTACCAAGATATCGATCAGCGTTATAAAATTCAGTTAAGTACAATGGGATCCTGGCAAAAAAAAAAAAAAAAAGAATAATAAAGGAGGGGGGAGGCAATATAATATCTGTGCAAATTTGCTGAAGTGTGACGTGGCATGGAAAGTTTACCCTCCTGGAATTCGGATCTAGAATGTTTTTTTCGGTTGTTTACTGACTTTGTTTATTCACAGATCACGGTTGCTTAAACCCGTGCGCTGAAGGCGCGGGTAAAAGGAAGAAAAAGAGAGGGGGGAGAACCACTGTACCCCACAACGTAGAGTTAGGGGGAAAAGGCAGAGGGCGATCCCTGCGCTCCTAAGCTTGGAACCCGGGCTAGGGGAGGGGGTTGATCGGAGGGGCTGTGTGTGAAAGACACAAGAAGCGCAGAAAAGCCGACGAAAGGACCCGCTCCGAGACATCCTTTTTATGTATTCGGACAGAACTATATCTTATCGGCAGGGATCAGTGGAGGGGGGCGCGCTAAGTAGTTTAAAACGACCCTTGAACAATGGGCGTGCGATACGAAACATAGCAGGTTAGGGCAGCGCTTTCAGCCTCCATTGTCCCCCACTCGGCCCCCGGCCCTGCCTCTCGGCTCCTTCGCCACGGGAGCCTTTTATGTGATAATGAAACACATTTCAGGCCGGGCTCACGACGTGTGTGTCCTTGCCAGGGGGAGAGACTGCCTGATTGCTGGCTGCGACCTCCGGATCCCCCACCCCCCAATTTCTCTTCCCTGTGTTCTTCGGGACAATGTGGAGTGTTGAAAAGGGATTTGGAGGAGGGGGCCGGAGGCGAGGAGCAAACCCCCCTCAAGCGAGTGGGAAGGCCAGGGTTGGGAGGAGGGTGCAGAGACCCTGGCAAGGTGGTTGAGGGCTGCAGGAGAGGCGGTTTCTAGGCCTCGGGCACAGCTGGGACATTCCAGGTTTGGGTAGCCAGAAAGCCCACAGGCCAAGTCTCAGAAACAGGAACTTGGATTTTAAAATCAGAGGCAATATGTTCAGGCACCTGCAGGATACATGCAGCAGTGGCCGGAAGACGGTGGCGGGTGGGGGGGCTACAACATTGAATCCAAACAGCTTATAGGCCTGTAGATATATATCCCAGGCAAAGCCAATGGTCAGGCTTCCCTTTGCACGCCTGGGCTACTGTTTCACAGTTAGCCACCAATTTACAAGCCAACTGTAAGGAGAGGTAGCACTACTTGTAAGAATTCATACTTGTGGAATTTCTTTGAAGGCTCACAAAATACCCACTCATCCTCTAAGCCAGCAATCCTGGTTTGCCAACCTGAACTCCTGGGCCAACAGGATGTTTTGGAAGGGTGTCAGGGTTTGCTGAGAGGAAAGAGGCACAAAGCTTGAGAGACTGCAATCTCTCTTTTGGCAAACAGCACCAGACACCTCACCCCCAATATGCCTTACTTTTAAAAAGGATATTGGCTGGTCACTTGCAGTTATCCATTTGAAACCAATTGCAGAACAATCTTCTAAATGTTGCCCCAGGTCAGGTGCTTCACCACTCCTGGGTCTGCCAGGGTCCTCCAGAGCACCTTATCTGAAGGAGAAGGGTGGGAGTGGGTGGTGGAGTAGACACAGACTGGGAGGATCCAAGCAGAGGCTGGATTCCACAGGAACATCAGGGGTGCCACCAGCAGTGGTAAAAAGACAAAGTGCTGCACTAGGAATTTGCAAATCCAGTCTAGGCTTGGACTTGAACAGAGGCCTGAGATCTGACATACAGCAAATACATGTAAAATCCTGGCTTTCCCCTAGAGAAGCCAGTCCAGTCTCTCCCAAGAGATCTCAAAACCAGAGTGCCTCCCAACAGACCAGGTGGAAAGATAGGTGAAGAGTGGTTTTTTCTTGGTGTTAAAAAGAAACCCGCTGGAATGGTTCATCTGGCACTTGTGTGTTTTATTATGTGCAAAGTTAACCTCAAAATTAAAAGTGACCATAAACAATATTGAGTTCTATTTAATGATGTACTTGCTAAAGTGTTCTGTGGAAGTGTACTGGTATCTGGAATTTACTTTGAAATTCAATTAGAAAAATAAAGATGGATTAACTGATGGATTCAGCTAGACGTACAAATGTGATAAGGTAAGGATAGTGAAAATGTTAACTAGAATCTTGGCAGTAGGGTGCCATGTGCTTCCTGAAGAATTCATTCATCTTTAGTATTTTAATAAAATGTTGGAAAAACGATAACTCCCCCCCCCAAAAAAAACCCTGTAACCAGTCAGAGTCTTGCTTCCTTCTTCTTGACATTATTTCTAAATCTGTTTATTTTTTTTGAATTCAGAGAGAGAGAAGAAAAATAAGAAAAAAGAAAATAAGAAAAAAGAAAATTTCAAAGAAAAGATTCAATGAATAAAACCAGCAATAACACTTTAATATAGATTTGTGGAACTCTGGCCCTTGTAGCCAGAATACACATTTATAAGCCATAAATAAAGCACGCAGAAACCATAAATTAATCAGACCCAAGACTTGGATTTCACCGTGTCAAAAATGGGAATGCATTGTTTTTGTTTTTTTTTTCCTTTTTACTTGGCCATTTACATAGGCCCTTACATTATTTTTTCTCCTTCTTAAACAATTGTACAACTCTGGTTCTCTGTTAAAACTACATGGTTTTACACCGAGTCACTCACAAAAGTTTTTCTTTTTTTCTTTCCTTTTTTTTCTTTTTTTTTAAGTAAGACTTCCCTGCAACAACAATGGAGAACAACAACAACAACAAAAATCAGAATCTGCAGGTGCTTAAAGAAGCAGGAGTCTACACAGTAGTGGAAACCGGAGGTTTTTTTTAAGAAGTTCATATTTCCCCCCTTTCCCTCTTTATTGATAGGCATCAGTGTGGCCCATCTGTTTGGGAAGGAAAGGCTGCAGAGGAGAACAGCAGACAGTTGTCTTGGGGTGGAGGTGTAATTTCTTCTTCCTTGCACCTTTCCAACACACCCTCCCCAAAGTCTCAACCCCTCCTTCCTCTCTCTTGTCCTTGTCCCGGCTGCCGGCTGCCAGAATTAACCGGGCCTGAAGCTGTCTTCTTAAGAGGAGTTCATAATGGGTCGGGAGTACACTCCCTGGTAGTAGGAGGTGTCTGCGGCCAGGGGCGAGGCGTCCAGGCCCGCTTTGTTCGTGACCGGGCCCATGGCCAAGCTGCCGGGCATGGGGGAACCGTAGCCAGGGTAGTGCATCACCTGTTCGTAGGTCTTGAGGTCCATTTTGTGGGGCTGGTGGTGGTGGTGGCTGTGGTGGTGTTGCTGCTCCGAAGACATGAGGTTGTTGATGGAGAAGGGATGATTGAAGGCGTAGTGGTGCTCAGGTTTGAGGTGGGCCTCAGGAGGCAGGCCAGGGTGATGGGGTGGGCCCAGCAGGTGGGCTGCGGCCTGCTGTTGCTGCCCTGGTGAGGGTGCCGGTTCTGGGGGGCTCAGCGCCGCGGAAGGCGTCCCTTTCAGCTCCCCTAGACCCCCGCGCTTATGCTCCTGGCACGGGGAGGCGCTCGAATGAGGCGACTCAGTGCCCCCCGGAGTCTCGGAGGCCGGCCCAGCGGCCTCCCCGATCTGAGCCTGCGAAGCCTGGTTCCCAGCAGCCGCCTTCTTGCCGCCGCCCCCGGCACCGGTGGCTTCCTTTAGTGCCAGCTGCTTCTCGCACTTGAAGCGCTTCTGGCGGCGTAGGTAGCAGCCATTCTCGAACATGTTGCCCGAGTCCGGGTGCAGGGTCCAAAAAGAGCCCTTGCCGGGCTTGTCTGGGGAGCGGGGCACCTTGAGAAAACAATCATTGAAGGAGAGCGAGTGGCGGATGGAGTTCTGCCAGCGCTGCTGGTTCTGCCGGTAGAAGGGGAAGAGGTCCATGATCCACTGGTAGATCTCGCTCAGCGTCAGCATCTTGTTGGGGCTCTGTTGGATGGCCATGGTGATGAGCGAGATGTACGAATAGGGCGGCTTGGCGTGCGTGTAACTGCGCCGGTATGTCTTGGGGTCGCGCGCGCGGCTCAGACCCGCCTGTCCGTACATGGGACTCATGGAGTTCATATTGGCATACGGGGCTAGACCACCCATAGCCCCGGCCGCCTGTCCCCCGAGGGGACTAAGGCTCGGACTCAAGTGCGGTCCCATGCCCGCCACTCCAGCTGCCCCGGCCGAGCCGCCCATGCCCGCCATGGCGCCCGCGCCCGGGGACATGCCGGCCAGGGACGGGCTCATGCCCGCGCCCACGTACGACGACATGTTCATAGAGCCTGCGCTCATGTTGCCCGAGCCGCTGCCCATGGCGGCCGCCGACATGCTCATGTAAGTGTTCATGCCGTTCATCCCCAGGCCGGCGTTCATGTTGCTGACGGAAGAGTAGCCCTGCGGACAGAGCCGGGAGAGGGAGACGCAACATTAGCACCGCGGCTCCAGCGTGGCCGAACCTCCCTTCCACCCGTCCAGCCCAGGCCCCCGCCTCCGGTGAAGCCTCCAGGGAGTCTTTCCCTCCTTTAGGCTACGGTAACGGGACACTGAATTTATTTCACTTAGAGTGAGCCAGGATAACCCTTGCGGAGGTAGTCAACAGGCTGCAGTCATGGGCATGTGGACCCCTTTCTATTCCTTCTGCTCCTTGCCCGGGGTCCGGAATACCGGGTCCCTGGCGCAACACCAGGTCAGTTACCCCAAATGAATTCTCCCTCCCCATAATTTCCCCAAACTCTTTCGGAACTCTCCAGCCAGCATAATGATCCAGCGCCAAGGCCAGGAATCCCCGGGACACTACCTCAGGTTCCAGTAAACAACCTTTAGGACGCCGCTCCGGACGCACAGGACGGTCTCAAGTGGAGACTGTCCCAGGGCTCCCTATGCCCGGACTTCTTCCCGGGACCCCCACCCTGGCCCCTAGGAGAACTGAAGTGCAATGTGAGCGGGGTCGGAGTGGGGGCGGGGGACAGTCTGAGGCATTGCATGCAGCAATAGGGAAGGAACCGCGAACTGGGGAAGGAACTACACGCGGTTGGGCTTAGAAGCCTCAAACTTTCTTTCTCTTTGTCCATTATTCTTTGACTCTTTGCCTTCACCTCAGCCCCCAACTCCTACCCACCTTCTCCTCTTCAGCTCCCCACCCCCTCGCCGGCAGACCTCCCACCCCTCCCCAGCCGCGCGCTGCCAAACATAACTCTGTTAGGATAGTGCGTGGCTCGGCCACGAAGAGGATTTGGAGGCGCCGCAAGTCAATATTTGATCACAAAGTTAATATTATCTCAAGGCTAACAGTGTGTCGTATAAAAAAGAGACCCATTTGAGTCGAAGGAGGGCGGAAAAGGCGGCTGCCCAGTAAAGCTGGGGGTGAGGGGCGGGTGCCAGCGAGGGAAGCGGTCCTGAGGTTGGGGAAGGAGCGAACGCCACCACCCCATTTCCCCCTGGAAAAGGGGAGCGCTTACCTCGGGCTCGGCATAGTAGCTGCTCCAGTCGGACGGCTCGTGCCCTTCCATCTTCACGGCTCCCAGCATACTGGAAGCCGAGTGCATGGCAGTTTAAAATTTAACAGCCACAACAAACGACCAGCAATCAGCCCCCACCCCCACCCTCTTAAAAAAAAAAAAAAAAGTCGGCGAAGGCACCGTCCCCTCCCTCCCTCCCTCTCTGGCGCTCCCTCTCTGTCGGATCCACTCCCTCTCTCTCCCAGGGCCGACCGGAGGCGGTAGTTGGAAGTGGGAGGGAGGTGTGGGTCACAGGAGGAGGGGGCCGAGGAACCGAGGAGGCCCAGACCGGAGCCCCGCTGTCGCGAGCGCCCGCCACTGCCACCGCCGCCGCCGCGCTCACGGGCTGCCGGGTGGAGGCTGAGGTTGGCAGTGCCGAGCTGCCCCGAGGCGGCGGGAAGCTCGCTGCGCGGGGCGGGTGGGGGGAGAGGAGGAGGAGGAGGGGGAGGAGGAGGTGTGGACCGCGGAGCGGACAAGTGCCGCAGTGACGTGGGCGGCTGGTGATATAGCGCGGCGCGCTGGCGCGGGCCTCCAATCCCCAGACCCGGGGCAGCCCATTTGAATAATCAGCTCACACCTAGGTGAGAGGAAGCCTCGGCCGGCACCCCACACCTGCCCCTCTGCGCCCGCGCCCGCTCAGCTCCCTATGTGCACTGCACTCTAGGGTCAGGACGGGAAAACGGCGAGCCGGCCCGCAGGCGCCCAGATGGGGCTCACTTTTGCTCCTGGATCGACCTGGGAGTCACCGAGGGCAGAGGCGCCTGGAAAAAGGCACCTCCACCCCCGGCAAAAGTGGCTCTGGACTTCTGTCCCCGCCCGATCCCTTAGCGCCAAGCGTCTGTCCTAGGGGGCGTCCCGCCTCCGTGTCCCGCAGAGCCTTATTTAAGCAGGATTTATTTATCCCGGGTTTCTTCGCTCTCAGCGCACCTTCCCTGTCAAAACAACAAGCAGGTGACAGCCAATTTGCAAAGCGCCGTCTTATTTAGAAAAACTGTGTACACACCTTTAACTCGCCCGCCGCTGCTCCTGAGAGGCCCCTCCCTGCTCCAGTTAAGTCCCTGAGCGGCCCCGGACAACGCGCGGGGCGCTCATGATACAAACACCTCGGTTTTCTGCCTCCTCCGAGTCCACCTCCTGCCACTGACAGGGGTGCAGTCGGGCGCACGCAGCCCGGCTACTTGCAGCCGACGCTTGGAAGACCGATTTGTCTCTGACATTCAGGCCGGCGTATTTCAAGGTTACTTTTCAGTTACAACCAAGGTGCCCACAGCATTTCGTAACTAAAACAAACAGGGTAGGAGGTGGGTGTAGAGCAGGAAGGGGGAGAAGAATAAAAGAATCAATAATGGGTCGTATGAAATGACTTCAAGAGGGTCTCTGTCCTTTCTGTCTTCTGGAGGGGTTGTTTTATAAATATTAAAAATTTCATCAATCCTGTGCTTCTCTTTTATTTCCACTGTAATTCCTGGGTGCAAAAATTGTCACCTGTCCTGGGTTGGCTACCCACAGCAAGTCCAGGTTTGCAGTGGGAATATTTGCAGGTATTTAGATATGGAAGCTCTCTGTTTTGGTTCTGAAAACTGGCTGGACCATGGTATCTAGCCTTGCATGCTCACTCTCCGAGATGAGAAAAAAAATTGGAAATAGTGGGGCCCTGGCACACTTCTCCAGAATTAGGGGTGATGGTAGCAGAAGAGAGGTGAGGTGACAGGCATGAAGCTGAACATTAAGAATGGAAGTGTGTGTGAGGATCAAACTGGAAGGTGAGCCAGAAGACAGCAGTAGGTGCAGTCAGACCCCCCCCCCCACACTCCCCGCATCCCTGCCTCTGGGGTCTGCACTGGTTTTGAACTGAAGAGGCGGATGCTCACAGTGCCCTTTGATGCTCAAATGCACATAGTTTGGATAATTTATAAAGGAGGGCAATAATAAGCCTTCTGAAAGAGTGTCAGGGTGGGCTCCCCCAAAGTAAAGATTTCCATTTCTGCTGAAGTGGGTGTACCCCATCCTAGATTGCTGAGAGCTCTCAGGAGGGGAAGATACCCCCAAGTGCCTGATGGTGTGTAATAAGCACAGTTGAATATTTGCCCATGGGAGCCAGAGAGGCCAGATCCCCAGCATCTTCCAGTGGGTCCCATCCAGAGGAAGGGTGGAAACAACTTCTAAGAAATTGGGGAAAAGGGGCATGGAGAACAAAAAGAAGTTTTTGTTTTCCTTTTCCCCAAAGTTTTCTGCTCATTCGGGAGCAGAAACACAGCTTCCCCACATACACACATCCTCCCCAAAACACATTGTTAAACCCCTCCTTCACACATAGCACTTAAATTCCCAAACAGAAAACTCTGCAAAAAACACCAAACGGGCAGGTTTCTGGTGTGCATCGACTTGAAAACCCAAAAGATTATTCTGGTTAACCTGTGTGGGGAGGGGCGGGCGAGTTAATATGAGGATATGAGCTTAAGTGTGTGCCCACTCCCCCCTTTCGATTTTGCTCCTGGTTGAAAATTTGGTCCTAGAAAATATTTTTCATGCAAAACGAAAGAGCAGGCGTTGAAACAGGAGATTATTTGGAAGAGAAGGAGCTGTCCTAAGGAGCGGATCTTGAGAGCGCCCACCTTCACCCCCAGTCTTCTTGGTGTTTTGGATCCCTGACCTTAGGGAGCGCTAAGCACCGGCTTCTACAGTGATAGGGCGCCCCCTGTCGTCCACAAGGCCAAAGGGACCAACTCAAGTCTGCATTTACCCCCGCGCTCCCAATCGGCCAACTCCAATGCCTAGCTGCCTTTTCCATCTCTCTGAGTAGCCCTGCCTGGAATAACGATGCCAGGGCCTCTGAATTTCTTCGGAGGTCTTCGAAATTTTGCGCAAACCCAAACCGGCTAGGGTAGGGTGGAGCTGCGTAGAACGCCGCCTGTAGTCTCCAAGCCTCGGGTCCCGGGCCTTCCCAGCGCGCCCGCTCCTAGGGAAGGCGAACGCGGCCTGCAGTTCGCTTTTGGCAGCCAGTAACAGGGGACCGACCTGCTGCGTCGGGGGCCGGAATGAACCAGACAGGCTGGGTTCGCGCTTTCCCAGCTCCGCGGTCTTTGGCGGCGCTACCTCCCCCTGCACGTTCTGGTCCTTCCTGGAGCTTCGATTTCTAAAGGTTTATTCAGATTTCTGGCACGGAAGCTTCAGGCTGGAATGTTGTGAATTGCTCCGGGTGCTTCTCTCCAGGAAAAAAGTTCGCAGGAACTCAGGCTGCAAACAGATGTTTGCTTTGACCCCCCTTTAGTTTCACCTCACCTGGAGCCTAGACCTATAAAGCTTTCCTTTGCCTGCCTTCTCTCTTTTCTTTCCGTTTCCTCCAGTCCTGCTCCGTTACTATATTAAAGCCTCTTTACAACCAACGATTGTACTTAGGGTTGCAGTTTATTTTTATTCTGGATGTCGCCGCGGCGGCAAAGGGAGCTATGGCTTGGATTCAAATGCAGGTTACCTCTTCTCTCGGTGGTAAGAGACGCTGTGATTCTGTGTCCCTTAGCAATACCCCCCCCCCCCCAACTCTCTTTGTCAATGAAACTACAGAAGGGAGCATCAATGAAAAGAACTCAACTTCCTTAAGATATAATCCATAAAATATCAAAGGGAAAAATATTAAAAGCCCTATTCAACTGATCAATACTCCAATTCATAAAGCCCTTCAGAGAATGTATGTCTGGGAAAGGACTTACTCAAAGTTCTCCAACCTGTTCAGGGCATTTTCCAACAGGTCTGCAGGCGAGGTTAAGTCAGAGGAAATAGAAACATGATTTAAAGTCTTATGAAAGTAGACTTTTTACTGTCAAAAATAAGATTTCTTATTTAATAGCCATCAGATGTCCACATGCCCAGGGTGGATTCTCTGGGTGAATCCCAAGTCTCAATGAAGAAAATGTATATAGTGTGTCAAAGTTATTATTAATTTTTTACTTTTTTTTTTTTTTAACAGAATCTTGCTAAGTTGCTAGGTTGGTGAGCCTATTGCCTTAGCTTCTCCAGTTGCTGGAATTATAGGCATGAACCGCCTGGGCTGGCCAACTGGTGGGTTATTTCTGAAATTTATTTTTAAAAATCAGAGTATCAGAATTTGTCTATTTGGCAGTGGGCATATCTTCAAATACTCTCCTGCTGGTCTTAATTGTTCTTTAAGGGTCAAAACACTTCATTTAGGCTGGGGTTTTGGCTCAGTGGTAGAGCGATTGCCTAGCACATGTGAGTCACTGGATTCAATCCCTAGCACCACATTAAAAAAAAAAAAACTAAATAAACAAAGGTTTTAAAAAAAAAACACTTCATTGTTCTTTAAGGGTCAAAACACTATTTGTTGGAAGTGCTACTGAAAACAATTAGCTAAGAACAACTTATGAAAAGGATATTGACTTGAAAAAATGAAAAAAAAAATTAGTGTGATACAGTCTTACCAAAAAACACACAAACACACACACACACATACACACACTAGAAAATGCTGATAGAAGTGGGGAGGGACATGACACAACATTTAAGTTTAATGAACAACGAACCTACATGCAATCTATCTTCCCTTTTCAAGATGTAATGAAAAGAAGGGATCCAAATAAAAAATAATCACAAAATAAAAAGAATGTTGATGTTAATGATTCTAATGGGTGGTGGGGGAGGTATACCTCAGTGGTAGTGCACCTGCTTAGAATGAGGAAGGCCCTCAGTTCAATTCCCAGCACCAATTGTGTTTGAGTAGTAGACTTATATCTTCAATCTACATTTTTCTGCAGTATGATTGTACATTTTTGTATCACTGTTGTTTTATTATTACCTTCCGTTATTATTTTATGGTGAAACAGGTAATAAGCTTTCATGTTAAGGAAAATTCAGCAAAATAACTTGTACAAATATTCACTCAGTTCTCAGCCTCCAAAGATCAGAGAAGTCACCATCCAAACTGACAAAGCTTTTGAATTCTTGAAAACAAAACTAATATTTTTTTTCCTTACTGGTATCAGGGGATAGATGGATTATGTTCTTCATTGAGTTAAGAGAGGAAGACAAGACATATTTATGACAACCATAGATGGAGACTCCCAGTGTGTTCCACATCACATAGAAGAAAGAGGAAGACTCTTTCCTCTGGGGTACATTAAGATGAATTTGTCACAAAGACCTCTTTGTTTATACATGTAGAATTTGACTGTTGTTTGGAAGGGTGAGTGTTTGTTATGGATGTCCATCTTTTATGGGCTTAGTAGTTTAGCTGAGCAATTGCTAACTGTGTTCTCATCTTTATAGTTCTGTACAGAAAAGTTAGTGCTCTGCCCATTTGGGTCCAGAGTTTAAAATATATTTCTAGTCTATGCTTGACATCCTGTCCACCATTGTTGCGATTTTAGCACTCTTCTGCTATGTAGAACTATTATAGCAGGTAATTAAAATAATTAGAAGAGATAAAAATAAATGACAATTTTTAGTGGCAATAATAATAATATGCCAATGTGAGGGAGAATAAGCTCTTCTTTGAGGGATGCTTAAATTAGATGAATCTGCATTTGTGGTCCTGGGAGCATGTTATTCTTGGGAGAAATCTCAGTTATTCCTGCCAAAAAGGCAAGCAGTAAACTTCTTTAAGGAAAGGAGTTATGGAGAGTCACTCACAGACTACCTGAAGAATCAAACCCCAGCCATTTTTTCTTTGTGTTACACAAAGAGCTAATTTAGAAGTAGCCCCACTAGATCTATGAGCTACTGATTATTTGCTTGGACAAACAAATGTGCTTTCTTTTTATATATATATTTTTAATATTTATTTATTTATTTTTCGGTGGACACAACATCTTTGTTTGTATGTGGTGCTGAGGATCGAACCCGGGCCGCACATATGCCAGGCGAGCGCGCTACCACTTGAGCCACATCCCCAGCCCCCAAATGTGCTTTCAATAAGTATGAAAGGATGAGGCATCTGAGAGATGTGGAGATTAGAAAGAGGTCAGAAAGTCCTGAGTGTTGAGTCTGATGCTTATGAAGCAATTGTTAGTTTCTTGTTTCCATCTCAAAGTGATACAGTGCTCTGTGTAAACACCCGAAAAAACTAGACCTAATTTGTTCTAATATTAAGCAATGATGATGAAGGGAGTTTATATATTTTTGTCCATTTGGCAAATATTTAATCAGTACTTACTGTATTCTAGATGGTGGGGGACAGAGGAAGTGATGACTGTGTTTACAGAAACTAAGTCTGTT